AGAATTGCTTGAACCCAGGAGGAGGAGGTTGCAGTGAGCCAAGATTGTGCCACCGTACTCTAATCTGGGTGACAAAGAGAAACTCTGTCTCAAAATAAATACAAAAGAAGAAAGAGAGAGAGAAAAGAAAAAGGAAGAAAGGAAGAAAGAAAGAAAAAGAAGGAAGGAAGGAGGGAAGGGAAGGGAAGGGAAGGGAAGGGAAGGGAAGGGAAGGGAAGGGAGAAAGAAAAAAGAAAAGAAAGAAAGAAAGAAGAGAGAGAGAGAGAGGAAGGAAGGAAGGAAGGAAGGAAGGAAGGAAGGAAGGAAGGAAGGAAGGAAGGCAGGCAGGCAGGCAGGCAGGCAGGCTGCCCAACACCAGCAAAAGTTACAAGAGGAACAATTAAATAATGTAAACTCACACTGAATGGCAACATTTGGTTTGAATATTTGAATATTTTTTCAGCTTTTCTTAAGGCGTACTCATGTATCAGAATTACCTAGGATGTTTCCAAAACATGTGGATTTCTGAGTCTCACCCAATAGTAGATAACCATATTAAACACCCCGTCATCTGGGGGTGGGTGTATCTCAGAAATCTTCATTATAACAAACCATCCAACTAACTGCTTTGCATATGAAACTTTAGAACCACTGTGTTCAGATAAGGCCTTCACTTCTTTCCTAACATATTAACTAATGAAATGAAAAAAAAAAAAATCATACCTGAATTTCCCTAGTGTATAAATTTCTTCCTATGCAGACACTGAGTCATTCCAACCTCTGGAAGTTGAGTTAATTATTTCAACATACAAAAAAAAAAAAAAATTAGGCCAGGCAAGGTGGCTCCCATCTGTTATCCCAGCACTTTGGGAGGCCAAGGTGGGCGGATTGGCTGAGGCCAGGAGTTCGAGTCCAGCCTGGCCAACATGGCAAAAACCCATCTGTACTAAAAATACAAAAAAAAAAAAAAAAAAAAATTAGCTGGGCATGGTGGCAGGCACCTGTAATCCTAGCTACTCAGGAGGCTGACACAAGAGAATCGCTTGAACCCAAGAGGTGGAGGTTGCAGTGAGTCAAGATTGCACCACTGTACTCCAGCCTGGGCAAGAGTGAGAATCCATCTCAGAAAAAAAAAAAAAGGTTTTTACAAAATTGACTTTGAGACCTCAGAGCTGTGTTATGAACACTTGAAATTTGGCTGCTACTGAGGAACTGAGTGTTTAATTAAAATAAATGTAAATAACCACATGGGGCTAGTGGCAGCCATATGGGGTAGTGCAGACATGGATAATTTCCATTATCACAGAAAGTCCCATCGACAGCCTAGTCTTAGACAATAAACTGCAGTGCCCAGTGCTGCCCCGCTGATTTTGAGAGTGCTTGGATATGTGTGTGAAGTCCCTCAGCTTCTTTGCAGCTTCTTTACTCCTGCTTAAGTAAAGCGAGGGATTACTCACTTACATTGTATTTTATTTACACATGAGACAAGCTATTTTGTATACTGCATTGTGTTTACTGACGAGACAGACATTGTAATCAGAAGGTTTATAGATAAAACGGAAATATTCATATTCAATTGTATTTTTCAGTTCTAGAGTTCTCATGTGTTTTCTTTCCAATTGTTTTTGCTTCTCTATTGATATTTCCTGTTGGTCCCCCAATACTTTTACGTTTTCACTTAAATCTTTCAACCTATGTATAATGGTTGTGTTAAAGTCTTCGTCATTTCCAGTCAGTTTCTTTTGACTGATTTTTCTCCTTACATTTTTCTCACATTTCCTTGCTTCTTTATATATCTGGCAAGTTTTTATTACATGCTGGACACAGTGGATGGCACCCTGTTGAACGTCTGGGTTTCGTTGTCCTCATCTGAAGAGTATTGAAGTTAATGGTGGCAGGCAGTTGATTCACACGCAGATCGACTTGATCCTCTTAAGGCTTGATTTTAAGCTTAGTTAGTGAACGCCTGGAGTAGTCTTCACTCTGGAGCTAGAGTCACCTTATTCCTAAATCACGTCCGCTCCAGGATATTAACTGAGTGCTTGGTGTGTTCAACGAGGTCTCTCCATACTGGTTTGTTGGTCCTCATTGTCTTCTAGCCCCGTGTCAGTTCTGGAATTTCTACTCAGCTCATCTCCTTGGTAGTTGATCTTTGCCTGCTGTTTCGGAGTCTTGCCTTAGCAGGTAGAGCTTAGTATTCAAAGATGCCAGCGGGCCTCCCTGTGGATTTCCGAAGCGTCTCCTCTGAGCCTTCGGCCTGTGCTCTGCTCCAGCTCTACCGTGTCTCCTATACTTCTCAACCTAGCGGGACAGCCTTGTCCTGCCTGGGCTCCTCTGGGCTCTGCTTTGGGACGGCTCGTGGCAGGACGCTGGGCAATCTTGGGGCTCACCTCTGTTATGACCCTTCTTTCAGGGAGCACAGGCCTGCACTCTTATTGTCAAGTGTCTGAAAACACTCTTTTCGTACACTTTGTCCAACTTTATAGATTTTTAACAGCAGAATGTCTAGTTAGATACCAGTTTCATCATGACCGGAAGTGGAAATGCACATGGAAATTAACTGTCACAGCTAAAAGAACAGTGAGAATTTTTAAACAGGTTAAACGGTAGATCTCCTACTAAAAGAAATTTGCCTAAGAGGACACAGTCCAAATAAGTCAAATATACTTAAGTCGAGACAGTTTTCAGAATTTAACAGACCAGTAACTTGTTACATAATTTCATCAAGTTCTGGACACATGTCCACTATCCATTTAAACACAAAATCAGAAGGACCTCGTCCTCGCACGAATATGGTCCATGGGACTAGAAAGCAAGAACCATTGGTTCTTCTGGATCCAGGGCACCTGCTTGTATAACTTAGGCTGACACTTTGCTCCCTGACTGTGTGCCAAGGTACCCTGGGACCTCACAGCAAGCTCACAGGGGTGCCAACATTGATATTTTCAGCATTCAAGGAAAACAGTGATAACTGTCATCTGTGGACACTGCACAAACTAGTAGCCCAATGTAGTCCACGGTTCCACATGACATAGGGCCACAATGCTCATGGCAGCAGCCTTGTCTCTGTGAATCTGGGTTTTTGACAGTTGCTGTGGTATAAAAGCATGTACCCCACAAAAATCAAAGTAGAACGTGAAATGAAGGTGGCAGCGGCAAAATCTGCTTCCAATGGCAGGCACACACAGGCCATTAGTAAGAAATTATGATTATTGAAGCTTGTAATTACAATCTCACTCTTCTGTCTCTCTTTTTGGAATTCTTTGGGGGGTGGGGGGGGGAAAGAGCGTTATTTACCGTGCAGTTTCCCACAGTCTGGGTTGCCGATTACATCCGTGGTGTCCTCTATCATTCCCTCTTCCGTGAGTTTTCTGGGAACTGACAATTGGCCTCAGAGTCCTGATACTGTTCAGGTTTGATTGGAGGGTGAAAGGGAAGCAGTGTGACTTCCGGGAGTTGGCGCCATTGAGGGTTCATGTGTGAATCCATTCGTTAATTAGGAGATGCGAAATGCTTTTTCAAATTCTATCATTACTATAATGTATTAGCTATAATACTTCTACAGAGGAAAAAATATGCCTTCTTTACTGTCAGCCAGAATGCACATGCTACAATCTTTCCCTTTATTTACCAGTTTTCAAAATAGCGAGTCGGTTCCTTATATGCACTTTGTTTTGTGCATTTAGAAACATTATCCTGAGAAGGGGTTCAAAGGCTTCACCAGAGTGTCAAAGGGGCTAATAGTATCAATGGAACTCCCATTTCAGACTATTCCAGGAGTCACAGAGGTCAATTTGACATCTTGGGCTTACAACAAGGATGTTAATTTTAAGCCATGACCTGATTTAAGATTAAGTAAATCAAATTTGCCCTTGGGTTTTTACCAATGTCAACACTCCCAGAGTCCACTGCTGTTCAACCTCTTCTCTTCTAAAACCCAGTGGATCTCCAAAGTGATTCCAACCAATCACCACTTCCTTTGTCTCCACAGCACTCAATCTTTGCATCTTGGTGGTTGGTGAAATTCTACCTTAGTTGCGCTGTGATCTACACCGTATGTAGACCCTACAGTGGTAGCTGTGGTGTAGGGGGCACCAATTTGAAGTCAGATCTAATTCAAATGTTGACTATGCTATTTACTAGCTTTGTAAACATAAAGCACATTGCTTCATGTCTTTGAGCTGGTTTCTTCATATAGAAAATGGTAAAAATGACATATAACTTGAAGAACTGTTTTGAGAACTAAAGAAGGAAATATTCTTGAAAGACTGAGACATTAGAGGTTCTCAGCAAATATTTGTTAAATCTGATTCTCAGTTCCCAAATGCAGGGGATTGTTCATTAGATCTTTGGTATTGGCCATAGTAGTAAAATAAAAAAAAAATTATTGCACTGTGAGATAGTTCCAATTTAGGGTTATAAGCAATAACACATTCCCATCCCTTTCAGCAAACTCTCTCTCTCCCTTTCTCTCTCTCCCTTCCTCTCTCTCCCTTCCTCTCTCTCCTTCCTCTCTCTCCTTCCTTCCTTTTTCTTCTCTTCTCTTCTCTTGTTCTTATTCTCTCTGTCTGACTCTTCATCTGTGTCTCTGTCTCTGTCTCCCTCCTCCCCATACGTGTCTCTCTCCTAGAGGCGCAGCGCTGAGCTCTGATAGTCAGAGCTGTGTGATTCTGAAATGCTCCTGAGAGCAAGCCACACTCCACTCACAGCATGGCCGATCTTCCCTGGGCTCAACAAAGCCACCCCAGTGAAGACATTCAATGCAGTTGGCTTCTCACTGCCCTGGCTTGAAATGGCCACATCGGCCTCTAACCTCGAATCCAGTAGCTTCTGTACTGTGTCTCAGCCACCCCTACGCTATCACGGTCCATCCCATTTGGTTAGTCTGAAAAACCAGCGATGTCCTCAGCACTCCCCAGGATTCTTTTTTGTGCTCCTCCCTGGTCAGAACCCATGTCCATTTCTGAGAACTGCAACCTCCTGCAGCCATTCGCCCACCAGGCCCTTCTCTTCTCTTCCAGATGGCTTGGAGTCTTCTTCCGAGCAAGTGCGGCTCTCGGGCCGGGCCTGAGCCTGCAGCCTGTGTGCCCTCCGTCATCAGGGCCCCCTCTCAGGAAAGGCTGCATCAAGGGTGGAACAGCGGACTTCCGGGGACACTTCCAAGTCGTGCCCATGCAGGTTTGGATGTTACTATTCCTACTGATTCCCTGTGTCTCCCTGAACCTGTTTCCTTATTTGTCACAAGGGCATGAGAAACACCACCTCAGCCTTGTTATAAGGATAAATAACAGTTTTTTTGTTTTTGTTTTTGTTTTTGAGATAGAATCTCACCCTGTTGCCCAGGCTGGAGTACAATGGCATGATCTCGGCTCACTGCAACCTCTGCTTCCCGGGTTCCAGCAATTCCCCTGCCTCAGCCTCCCGAGTAGCTGGGATTACAGGCATCCACCACCATGCCCGGCTAATTTTTTGTATCTTTAGTAGAGATGGGGTTTCACCACGTTGGCCAGGCTGGTCTCAAACTCCTGACCTCGTGATCCGCCTGCTTTGGCCTCCCAATGTGCTGGGATTACAGGGGTGAGCCACCACGCCCGGACAATAGCAGATTTAAAGTGTCTCATGCCTGGCATGTGCCAGCAAACCTTAGACACTTAACAGGCAGCAGCCCCTTTCCTCCTGCCTCCTCTTCCTCTGTCCAGGGAAAGGCTCTCCCTCTGTTTTGGTCTGCAGGGCCCTCCTCCTGGCCCACAGTTACCCTCAGTAGTGCCGCACAGCTCCGTGGTGAGACCCAGCTGTGGAGTCACACTGCTTAGGTCAAACCCAAGGCTGACACTTGCTATGTGGTTTACAATTAGGAAAAGGAGACAGGGCTCCTATGAAGATTAGATGAGGTGGTGACGGTGCAGAGAGCTGGGCTCCTGGTACACACCGTGTTCTTAGCAAACACTGTGGTCACGACAGTTGTCCCCTCTCTGGGATCCTCAGTGCCTCCTGCCATCGGCCTCCTCTCTGCACCCCTGCAGCCCCTGCGGCACCGTAGCTGCGGTCACTCCCCGCTCTGAACTGAGCTCCTTGCAGGGCTACATCCTCCAAGCCCCTCCTCCCTCCTGGTCCTGCCCCTCCACTCCACCCAGAGTCATCCTGTGAGGGCTCACAGAGGCCTTTTACTTCTCCCCACACAAGGAACATGCTGGGAACTTCCACCAACTGGACTTCCTATGCCCTTTTAGATAAGTGATAGTTCTTCCTCCTTGAAGTCTCTCCTCCCTTGGTATGTAACTCCAAGCAAGCTATATTCAATGTACACAAAACCATTTAGCAACTGTCATGGTTTCTCACTGTCTGTAGGATGACGTCTAAACTCTTTAGCGTGGCATTCACGTGGCTCACGATATGATTCCTGGAAAATAAGGTTCTGGTCTTATTTTCTCTGTTCCTTCAAAGGCACCCCCACTCCCCAGCAATATCAAAAAATCTTGCAATTTCCCAACCCCAACATCTTCTCCTACAACTCCATGCATTTGCTCATAGCACATTCCCTGCCTTCTCTGCCCTCAAGCAGAAAATTCCTACTCATCCTATAAGACTTAATCCACTGCCAACCTTCTCAGAGAAGCAAGGCCTCCTGGAGCCATGCAGCAAGGGACTGGGGGGGCAGGGTTCTGTTAGGTCCTCGGAGCTGCACCTGAACTGCTTGGAGCCAGCTCTGCCCACTGCCCTGGAGTGTGTCATTGTGCACGGGTCCTACAAATCCTGGCACACACGACAGTAAGGACAATAGCAAGCCTGGGTGCTGTGCTCACTCTCAGACTGAGGCCAGAATGTTTCCGGATCATTCTCTGTCCCTGAGAGCATTTCCCTGACCCTATTCTAGTCCCCACACAGACAGTTCCAAGGCCTGAGAAATGAGCTGTGTTCTGAGCCCAACTGCGATCCCGTTCGTGGTAAGTGAAAGTGAAATGTGATCATTCTGTAGAATTAGAGACTGGAAAGAGCTTCTGATTTTGGAAGAACAATTTTTTAAAATGGATTTGTATGCATAACATCCATTGCAGTTGGTGACGGTGGAGTCAGTGACTAATAAAAATGTCATTTCCTGTGATTTTTATAAATTACAGTAAATATGCCAGTAATCACCCACATTAGCTGCTGAAATGCAGGCAGCCAGCTGGAATAGAGGCCAGGGGACCCCACTGAGGCCTCAAGAGGGAGACCCCACAGGTGCAAATTGACACCTAGGCAAACAGTAGTTAATACATGCTAGAATTTGGAGAAGGGGAAAAGTGTTAAAATAAATGTATGTCAAGCAGACAAATTTGGACTTCTCCATGAGGATCTGTCACGTCAAACAGGAAATCGCTATAAATTACTTGTAATAGTAAAAATCTTGTCATTTATAACCTTTAAGGCAACAGGCTCATTTAACACATCAACTCACAGATCATAATCTAAGAGAGTCGGCCTGGGTATTTATTTCACTTTTAATGTGTAGAAGCTGGGGCAAGCCATGCATGAGCTGCACAAGCCCCCACAGTGCTCTGTCGGCTCTTCAAGCTGTGGGACAGACCAGAGAGATAACGGCCTGAGGCTTGTGGGATGAACACGCCAAGATAGGAAAGCCGTTCCTGCTCCTGTAAAAATTAAGATGTGCCTGAAAATGTCATGCCTTGGTTAGTCTCGTAATGAATAAATCCAAATAAATCCCACCATTATTCTGTTTATTTGTTTTACTTATAAGCTATTTGAAGTCATTGGAGCTGAAAGTGTGTTTCAACACGCCACACACATTTATAGTATCTTGTAATCATCTTGCTAACCAGTGCACAGATGAATGATGAGTGGAATTCTGTGTTTATTTCAGATACCTCAGTATACACGGCCCACAGTTAAGAAACCACAACCTGAGACATTGTTTTAAAGAGGTGAAAATGCCTCCCCTCAAGTGGCCCAGGAGTGTGATCCACAAAGACGAACACACAGAACCATCTTCTGCATTATTGGAAAATTCAATGGAAACTAGGTATTTATGAACCAGACGCTTACTGCAGTTTGCATGTACTGAATAGACATTTGTGGATTAATTCATCTAGGGTTGGGGGAGAGGTTCCAAGAGGAGGGTAAAAGCAAAAAACAGCCACAGGCCCAGCTGACCATTCCCTTCAGTGAGAAAAAGACCCGCAGGCAGCATTGAACATGCAGCTCACATTCGCACATGCTTGGCATCAGGAGCCGTGAGGAGGAGCAAAGTTGGTTTCCAGAAAGATGTTAACTCACAGTTGCACTTCTCTCCACTTCCCTTGCTCCTCTCCCTGGCCTCTATACATCTCCCTGCTGTCTCCTGCACCAGGGCTTGGTCAGTGCTTAATGCTGGCAGGAACCACGAGTGCTGTCTGCTGCAAGTTGCTATGATTCAGATGCCACTCACGAGGCATGGGCAAGTGTAAGCACACAGGAACACACACGCACACCTGCACAGGCACACGCAGCCTCTGTGGGGCATGTTTAGAATTCCTGGGTCTGCTGGCGGGTACCTTTCCCCCTCGTGCTTTCCACGTGCGGCCAAGGCCTACTTCGATTGCAGGAAAAATTAGTCTCCACGTCTGCCTTTCCGAACACAAGCTAACTTACAAGGAAACACGAAATTTAATTCTAAAATGAAGTTAAAATTTTTAAAAAATTAGACAATTTAAAAATTTTAACTTCATTTTAAAATTTAATTAGATTAGGTTTAACTGGTTCCTTGAAAATTGCTGCTCTCTCTCTGAACTTAATCCTGTTTTCAAAATTATGGTTGGTTTTCTTAGATTGATAGGGTCCCCAGTGTGGGGAGGGAGAGGTATTTGAAGGTGAATATGAGAGCATCTGCAGGTAAAGAGTTTAGGCACAGTTTAGATCATGTAGAGAAAAACTTGTCATTTAGGGAGAGAAGCTGATTCTGGGAACCAAATTATTCAAATTAACCATATCCAATCTGCAGTGCCAAAATCAAAACCAAACGAACCAGCCTAAATTGTTCACTTTACTTTGGCAAGCACCAAATATGCATATGTGTATCAAATAGAGTGAACAATTGGAGTTCTTTCTCTAACTTCAATAATTTCTGGGAAAAAAGAAAACCCCAGCAATCTACATCTTTTGCCTCAATTGCTAGATTATTACTGATTAGAGAATATTTATGTTTTTAACTTTTCTTTCTCCTTTGGGTGAGGTGGGCTGGAATGGATAAATGTTTCAATTCTACATTTCTAAACTCTGCCTATCTATAGAGTCGGGGTTGCATGAGTTACATACGATTATTGACACATTTATTAATTTACAACGAAGTTAATTTCTATAGAACAATGGGTAATTTTGAAAATATTTTGGACAAAATGTTACAAACTCATTATTCATTGAACTCAACAATGCATATTGTATTTCTCTGGTTCTAAGACACCCATTTTAAATATTTTTATCATCTCTGGAATCTAAATGCACCATTACCATCAGTGACAACTGAGAATTACAACTGGCAGAGTTTTTTCTTTCATAGCAGCATGTAAAATAAAGAGGCATCTTATCATAAATGGCATCTTAGGCTTGTTGAAACAGAAGAAGTGTGTGTATGTGGAGGTAGCCTACAGATAATTTCTTGTCCAGGTGGTCTCAGGTGTAAAAAATTGTTTGTGTCAAAGATCAGTTATTTTTTCCTGATACTTCTTTATGTAGGGATTATAAATTATAGCCCCAAACTTTTGCATAACTCTTTTTATTCTAAAAACCGCTTGTCCTTATAATGAGTGGTTCATGCTGGTTTGCAGTGTGTATTCAACAGAGAATTTCTGTTGTTTTGTCCCCCGCTCCCATCAACTAAAAAAATCTACAAACGAAAACTCTAGGAGACCAGTTTCTCATTTGGTACCAAAGCTAAAAATGAGTTCCCTCAACTCCTCAAAAAAAAAAAAAAAAAAAAAAAAAAAAAAAAAAAAAAAGAAATCAAAGTTAGTACCATCGAATGGGGTTAAGTTAATCTTATAAATTTTTAAATAAGCATGCTCACTTGCAGCAAACTCCTGTGCTACATTTGTGCTTGTTCTCTGGAAAGTTTAGAAGGCAATTTCCATAATGCAGAAAAGTCTCTACCACTGACCTTGCAGCCATGCCACAAGATACTTCCGGTCTGAATTCTTTCTGTGTCTTTTGTCAGAGCCAGAAGTCTTGGAGAGCGCCGAGAGCCAACTGTAAATATTAAGTCAGTTGGAGGTGATGTGGGAATAGTGGAGGGAAGAGAAACTATGTTTAGATTTTTTTTTAATTTTAAATGATCGGGATTCCAGACAGGAAAATCAGCTATATTGGTGCTACACTAGAACACCTATTCTTACCACAAGCATGCTGGCTTGGAGCTCACAGAGACGTGAACACATACATGCAGTGAATATCTACATTTTTTTTCGTGATAGCTATGCCATTTAAGGGTTGAAGTTGCTATTGCTTCAGTTTCAGCCCTCTGCTCTCTACCTCATCTCATTCTTTCTGGGACCATCCTATATGCACGATTTAAAGGGAATTACCTATTACTTCAATTATTTGTTTCTTATCAACTGATGTTAAACTACAAGGATTTGCATTGAAAAGACACAAAGAAAGAGCAAGCCATGGCACATCGCCAAATGAAAGAGTAATGTTCTGGTGAATTTAGCCTAAATAATTTACTGCTATATAAAAGTGGAAAAGTGGAAGGTGAACCCTTTGACCAATAAATCTCTCCTGCCCATGAAACCCTTATCTGGTCTCCTCCAATGTATTCCACACGCGGAAGCCATCATCACGGGCTCGGGCTTGTGATTTGTAAACCTTGATCTTCTGCACTCCGTGTCCTAAATATGGATAATTAGCATCAGTTTATCACGCCTCTGCATATTTTCTCTTCTCTCCAAACATGCATGCTTCTGTTGGCTGCCATTCTGCTACAGAAGATTATGGAGACAGATTGCAGAGAATGAATGTGCTAAACGAGATTAGGAAGGAATAGAAATAGCAACTTGGCCAATAAATTCCTCGTGAGAGCCTTATCATGCAATTACACGTTGACTTGCTTCACACTCTCCCAGCCTCTTAATCCAACACCCCCACCAGGAATGAAATTTCACTAATTTCTGAATTACTGCATATCCTCCTGACTTGTTACTGAGAATGGTTGGAAGGAGAAACATTGCTGAAAACAACATGTAAAACTTGATCATCAAAAGTAAACTTTAACTGTCAAAATGGGTGGTATGAATTTGGAATGTTTAAAGCATTTTAGGGTCGACGAATGGATGCACAAAGTCTTGGCATAGAGAGGGATTCAACTTTTCTTTGCGATTCACCAATTCTGCCATTGTGCCACCTTTGGTGATTCAGAACTGGCTGGGGGCGGGGGTGTTCCTTGCTCTTAAACAGGACTATCTGATGTGTTTAAAAACAGGACAAAGCATCCACTGATTTTTCTGACTTCTTATTATTACTGATAACAGTCACGATGCCCCTGGGTAATTCTGGGCAAATCACTTGACCTCTTTAAGTGCCACCTCCTCCTGGCTTAGATGCACCGCTTCACTGCCACAGCCCCTCCTGGCGCCAGCGTGCTGCGGCTTCTCATGCACATTAATGTATATAAATAGGAAAAGTCCTGCCTGTTCCGGATCTCCAAGAATGCTGTAATAGGGCATCTACAGGGGGAGCTCTCTTCTTCCTCTTCTTTGCCTGTTAATGTGATTCTCCCGGGGCTTTATACTAAGTTAGGTATTTAAAGAGGCCCATTAAACCTTTCGATCCACCAGGGTACTATTTATAGCACAGAGCAGCAGTCAGACATTGTGGTACCTCTACAAAAGCAAGGTTCTGCAGCAGGAGAAAAAAAATCTGGCAGGCCTGAGCATGTGTTTACTAGAAGGAATGGAAGTCTAGCTCAGATATTAAAACTTGTGCTTACTATTTGTGCTTGCAGAAAAGGAAAGGAGTCCAATGCATGGTGGCAAGAATTAATTAGCAAAAGAAATGCACAGCCATTGTAAAAAGAGTTTTACACGTAGATCATAATGTTGTCTTCACTTTCTTTCCCACGAGTAATGCCTATGCGGGTTCCCTGGTGAGAGGGTCCTATGAGCCATCCAGAGAAAAGCTTCCATATTTCCCTTCCAGAAGACCTGCTTGCAGGCCTGGAATTTTGAGAGGTAAAACTGGACGGCATTCATTCCATGAATAGGTATTGGGCATCTCCTCTGCACACACTGCCAGCCACTGTTCCAGGACCATAGGGTGAAACGGCAGGAGGAAGGAGCCCTGCCCTGGAGGAGCTGGCTGTGGGGAGGAAGCCGGGCCTCGATGTTGATGCCCACGTGCTTGCCTTCTGCAAGCTGGTTGCTTTTCTACAGGCTGCCAAGAATCTCCTTTTTTGGAAGGAAAGCCAGCCTGGAACCCTCATTTACCTTGATTGGGAGGGAGGGACCCAGGGGCCTGGGAGGCAGCCCTGAGAGGCACTGGTCTGAAGAGCTAGACCCTTGGTAAGAACCTCTGGAAAACGCCTGTCTTCTGGAACCAGACAGGGAGGCGCGCAAGGGGGTGGGGCGGGGGGTCCTCCCAGGTGCAGGCACCTCTACTCTTAACTGTCTGCAAGAAGACACACACACCCCACACACACACCCTGGGTGTCAGAGAAGTCCGTCCTTCCCTGTGCCTCCTCTTTCCCAAGCCTCTGAAATCCAGAGGTGCCCGTTTCCAGGCACCAGCCCGGCTGAGTGGATGTGGGGATGGAGGTCACTGGAGGCCCAGGGCTGGTTTGCTGTTTTGTTTCCTGTTAGGAGTACTGTGGAGGCTTTGCAGTGCTAGTTTTGAGAAATCTTAGGTTTGGCTTTATCTACTCCTCTACTGGAGCAAGGCGCACAGCCAAGCCTGCTTAGACCTTCCCAGGCCACCGGCCCGCGGCAGACCTGGGGCTTGCAGCCCAGCTCAGCACCTGCAGGCGCGGGGGACCGCGCGCTTGGCGCGAGGACCCCCGCCCTGGGCAGGGGACAGAAAATGTGAAATCAGATGGGGAGTTATTAATAACTGTCCTCCCCTCCCCTCTGCCGTGTTTCCTGAATCCTTGCGCTATGCTAGAGGGGGACGGGGGCGGGGGCGGGGGCGCGGGGAGGAGGAGGGGGCCGTTTGCCATTAATCTGGGAACAAGCGGCTAACCTCGGTGACTGGTATTTTTGCTTTTCTTTTCTTACTTTTCTCAGTGTGGGGAAAGCAGTCAAGCCCGCGCGGAGCGATTGTGAGGGGCTCTGCTGGAATTTGGCAGCGCGGAGTCTTGGAGAGAAGCCCCATGCTGGCTCCCATTCAGCCGGCCCGTTTTCCTCGAGCTTTGGAAGTTTCACTCAGCCGTGCACTCAATGGCTTCACAAAGCTGATTACAAGCTTCAGCGCATTCCTGAAGGAGCCAAAAGCGACGCAGGTGCAAACGAGCCGAGGGAGCCCCTTATCCCGGTGACAGAATGGGACAAGCTGGGAAAGGCTTGGACCACACAAATCCAAGGCTCACCAGGCAGCAGAAAGCCTGCCTTGGGAACCGGGGGTCATTATCCGCCCTATTCAGCGGGGCCCGGGGACCCTGGGGGCCCAGCAAGGCTAGCCCGGGCGGGAGCACCGCCGCCAGCGCGCGCGGGCGACAGGGGGGAACCCCGCTGGGCACCGCGGCCAGGCCCGGGCTCAGGGCACTGGGCTGTGCGTTTGCGCAAATCTGTGTTCCGGCGGGCCGGTGGCAACCCTAGTGGGGACACGGGAGAACGAGCACGCCAGGAGGCCACGCGGCGCGTGGACAGTGTGAAACTTCTGCTCGGCGTCCAGGCCGCACGGCCGAATCTCAGCCGGTGTTCCCAGGCCACGAACACCCAGCTCCGGGGTCGCTCTGTGCCCTTTCCCCCCAGCCCACCTTTCCCATTGGTCCCTTCCCCTGCCCGCGTGGCAGCGCGGCCCCGGCCCCGCAGAGAGCGACCCCGGGAGGGGCAGTGACCGCACGCGTGGAGTGGGGACGGCAGGGCACGGGGCCGTTGTCTAAGAGCGTTCGCTTGGCCGAGAAGGCTTTTGCTGCGAGTTTGCGCGGCGGGTAGAGGGGCAGTTCCCTCCCCAAGTCATTAACTACGTCTCCTCGCGCTCAGGGACCGGAAACTTGCGGCTGCGGGCGCCAGAAAGAAAAGGGCAGCGCCTCGCCGAGCGCTCGGGGGAAGAGTGACTGCTGCAGCGGGACGCGGGGGCGGGGGGGGCGCAGCCCGGAGCGCGAGCGCAGCAGAGGGGAGCGCTGGGGGGCGGGGAGAGCTCGACCAGGAGCTGCAGCTACGGGCCCGGGAAGGCCACCCTGTCCGGGTCCGGAGCCCCGCGCTGCGTCTAGGAGGGCCCAACACGCAGTACCCGCGGGGCCGGAGCTTGGAGCCCCCTCGTGCATGCCCCTCTCCTCGCGCCCTGCCAAGGCCTCGGCCCTGCCTGCCGTGCCCTGGGCCTGGTTGTGCCCGGGGGTCCCCGCGGGCAGGGCGCGGGCGGGCAGGGCGCGCGCGCCGAAGCTCTTTTGTCTGATAACTAATTTGAGTTAATGCGATCTTTATGTAAAGCTAACAGCGGATAATTGTCTATTTTCTCGCCAACAGTCTCCATCACAATCACTTATCTGGAAACCTGCGGTTGGATTAATCGTTATATTCCCGAGATGAGCGTCGCTGCAATCTGCAGCGAACGCGGGTGGGGACCTGGAGACGCCTCCCGGGCTCTGGCGGGGCCCGTGCGGGCCAGCTCCGCTACCGCCCGAGACGCGGTGTGCCCAGTTGTTGCTGCCCGCGAGCGAGGGCTGTGGGGCGCCTTCCCCAGGACTTGCTTGACTTGCTTTTTGCTCGAGTGGGTGGTGCGGGGATGCGGGAGACGGAGGGAGGAGGAGGGGTGAGGGGAGGAGGGCCTGTGGGGCTGCCGACCCGGAGCAGCCTGGGTGGAGCGAGGCCTCGGGAGGCCCTGGGGGCATCGCGGAGGGGCCTGGGGGTCCAGGCGCAGGAGGAGCCGTCGGTGCCAGAACGCAGCGTGTTTCATTTGGGAGAAACGTTGCCCTCAGGCCCTCGCCTCCCTCCCGTCATCTAGGTTTTTCTAGCTTCGCCCTTTGTCCCACCCACCTGTTCCCACCTCAGGTCCCTCCCCCAGGACTCCCTCCTTAAGGATCCAGGTCTCTGAAAATTATTGGCAACAGTTACACGCCCCAAGATTGAAATTCGCAAGAGAAGAGTCCCAGTTCTGCAGGCTGCTCCAGGGCTAGGGGTAGAGATGGTGGCAGGTGGTGCGTCAACTCTCTAGGGAAGAGGAACTTGCATTACAAAGACTTGTCTTTCTGAGCTGAAGTCAAAACAGGGGCGCCAAGCGCGCTCCGTTTGGAGGCGGTGGAGGGGCCGCGCGCCCGCGCTGTCCCAGCCGGAGCTGCCCTGGCTGGTGATTGGAGGTTTAACGTCCGGGCTTCAGGCGCTCTGCAGTTCGGATTTGCCGGCCAAGGGGCCTCAGTCGCAACTTTTCAAAATGGTGTTTCTGGAAAACAACAAATTCAGACTCAAGTGGTGACAGCTTTTGGCTATAGAGAATGAAACTGCTTCCCTTTGGCAGTGGAACTCTTAAACTTGGAAGAGTGAAAGAATACAATGAAATAAAATGCCGTAAGATCACTGGATTTTTCAGATAAAGGACGACCCCAAATTACTCCCAAAATGAGGCTTTGTAAATTCTTGTTAAAAATCTTTAAATCTCGAATTTCCCCTACAACATCTGATGAGGGTTTTAAGAGCAAATATGTAAAATCCCACCTCGAGAATCAACAAACCCACACTCTAGCCAAGGCTCTCCCCGCGTTTTCTTCTCGTGACCTGGGGAAGGTCCCGCCCCATCGCTCACCTGGCTCTTGTCACCTCGGTCATCTTGAAGTGATCCGTGGACAATGCTGCTCCCTGCCGCAGATCCGCTGGTCACTCAGGCAGAACGGGGTATGCAAATGGCCTGGAGAGGCCGAGGCCCGAACACTGCGCCCATTGTCCCGGGCGCTCAAAGCGCCGAGCAGCTGCGCAGACTTTCTGGGCTCGGACCCTCGGCCGCCACGCTAATGTCATCATTGCAAAACATCAGATTTTGAGAACTATGCAGTCTGAATTCATTAGCAGCCTTCCCGGCGAAGATTCTTTTCCCCGTGACAAGTTTCAAAGTCCAGACCCCCTCCCACGTTGATAGGGGTAGGAAGAGGAGGAGGGACCCGGGAAGGGGGGTCTTTCGCAAGTGGGGCCTCGGGGGATCCCTGCTCTCCTCCTTCTGTTGCGTTCTGCAACTTTAAAAGCCTTCCTTGGGGTTCTGAGCAAAGATGTCTGACTCGAATGACCTGAGATTTGGACATTTTCCCGTTTTCTCTCAAGTGTAGCTTTAATGTTGTGAGTTTAAATTCACCGAAAGAGGCCCAGATATCAAGTCGAGCGAATTTCACAGCATCATCTTCTGTTTTAATCGTTTCTGAAGTCATATCCTTTAGGGTGAACTCACAACAATGCAGGTCAGAGAGACTGCGCGCCCTACAGCAAACCAGTTAAAACATCAGGCCAGATCTTCAAGCTGCAGGATTGCAAGCAGCTCATAAACTTCCAGTCCCCACCCTGAGACAAGGTGCGTGACTTAAGGACCTGCTTGCACTCCCACTCTCCACACCCTGTACCCTGCCGGCACCTGCCCAAATGGCCTCGTTCCTCTAGAACCTAGACGGTGGGGAAGGGTGCTCCTGATGCCCCGGGGTGGGTGCAGGGCGGGGGACCAGCGAAGGAGACCCAAGGGCACTAGAACCCGGGATCGCAAACCACCGTTAGAGCCTGAGGGACCCTCAGATTCGTGGGAGACCGCAGGCGCCGGCAAAGGCAGTTTTCCTCCCCTGAACAATGCTAGTTCTTCTCCGGCCCAGGATCTCCACTAATGTGTCTTTCCGCTTCCTCACAGGACTCCAAGCTGCCCTCCCCTCTCTGCCGCATCTGAGGCTGGAAAAACTTCCTATAAGAAGGCAAGAGAAAGCCATCAGGTCAGAACCGAGGGCTAAACTTTAAGGTGGAAGACGGCAGAGAGGCAGGTTCTCCCCTGCACACCCCAAGGCCTCTCCTGCCCCCGCGAGGCCTTCCTCGAGCGCCCAGGCCCCCAAAGTGCCTGCCCTCCTTCTAACAAAAGGAGGGCACAGGATGTGAAGGAATAGTGCAACCATAATGTTTTTGTAAACGCAACAACAGGGAAATACACGGAGGAAATCTATTTATTGGGTGTGTCATATTTGGTTGAGGGCCGGGGTTGAAAGTGGACTCATCTAGACCCAGGAAAAAGCTACCGGATGGGCAGGGTAAGTGGGGGGTTCTATGTGTATGTGGATACCTTTGAACTGAAACACCATTTTGTTTTCTCCCTGGAGAATAGTATGATGTGGCTTGAAGACTCTGGAAAGTCACAGATCAAGATCAGACCCTACAGAAGGTTCCTCATGTGTGCCTGGGCAACCTTGCCTCCATCCTCTGGCCCCAGTTCCTGCCACTCCACGTGCAGGTAAGGCTGCCGAAGGCTAGGGACAGGGCTCCAAGTCAGAGGCCGGCTTTTTGGAGATGTGGCTGTGGGAGGGGAATCCCAGGAAGTTGCATAGAGAGGGAGGTTTTGCCAGCCTGGGTCACTGATAGCTAGTCCAGGTCACTGATGTCTCCCCAGGGGCGGGGGGACAGTGCCTGGCTAATTGTGGGTGTTCAAAATCTGTCTGCTGAGGGGATGTAGAGGGCATCATTGGGGGGCGGAGCTGATGATCCATGGAAGCTCTGGGCACAGATTGGGCCTCTCTTCCCTGCACAAAGAACTCTCCAGGGTACCCAGTGGTTCTGGCCAGTGCCAGAGCCAGTGACCCTTGGCTTGCTCTGGCCTTTCCCCGCTTCTCACACATGCATTCACTTGCACACGTGTCACACACATTCCTACACACTCACACAAATTCCCAGAATCAATCTCACACACACATGCAAATCACACTTACACGCGATTCACAGATTCACACGATTCACAGATGTGATAGACTCACAGGTACTCACTCTTACACGTGACACAGTTGCCCATTTGCAGCAGCACACACACGCACTGCAAGCCCCTTGCATCTCCACAGTGTCCAGGGCTGGCTGAACACCAAGGCGGCTCTTGCTGGCTGGGTAGGACTTCTCATGGGAGGGAAAGTCACATAGCTGGAAGGTTACTAGCTTAGGGACATAATTTCCTTATAAAAATTCAACAACTATAGCAGAAAATGGAGAATGAGGACATTTTATTTCTCAATTTCAACAGTTCCTCTTCTCTTGCGTTTTCTGAGTAGGCTCCTGCCTGAGGCTGCTGAGGTGCTCTGGGTTCTCACTGTTTTCAGTGCTTCCAGGTTCAGGCTTTGCTCAGTGCATTTTCCTCGGCTACTCTTGGACTTGTGTTGTCCTGGGTGGCGGTCACTGGCCCCCAGTGGCTACTGAGCACGGAGAGCAGGGCCCGTCTGCAGTAAGGTGTGCTGCTCGGTGTAAAACACACATGAGATTTTCCAGATGCAGTACTCAAAAGCATATGAAACACCTCAGTAATCACTTAAAATATTGATCACAGGTTGAAATGATTATAATTTAGATAGCTTAGGTTAAATAAAATATATATTGAAATTTTGCCTTCTTTTTGCTTTCTAAAAATGTAGCTCTTAGGAACTTTGCAATTACCTACATGGCTATTTGCGCATTATCTTCCTGCTGGGCAGTGTGAGACCTTCTCACAGATCCTTCAGAAAAGGCAAAGGAAAAGCAAAAATGGTGGAGAAGGCTGAGCACATGGCGGCGGGGGAGGCCTGCTCAGAGCCATTCTGAAGTTGGTTTTGTAACACAATCTGTTGTCAAAGCTCCTTTTCTTTCAATGGGGCGGTGGGGGTGGGGGTGGGGATTACACCTTGTATTTTACTTCTCGATTCATTTTCTTTCCATTTTAACTTTAATTCCATCTAATTACCGTATTGTGATCTCAGTCAGCAATCTTACTTACATGAACTCTGCGGTAATGTCTGAAGAATCTGGCTCCAAGTGTTTGATAATGACGAGATATGCATGACCAAGGCAACTGTGTGATGTCTGCACAGTTCGAAAGCCCGCATTCCTGTTACTTTCCAATCTCAGGTCAGCATTTTGGAACTTTTATGCTTTAATTTTTCCACACACACCTCTCGCTGCCACCACCTACCAAAACAAAGCAAACAAACAAAGTTTGAGCAAGAATTTACATCTGGGAAAATGCTTCTACTCATCAAGAGTGGAATTCCTTTTTACTCCTATAATTGATTCACAGCTTCAAAAAGCTGTGAAGTCATACTTTGGTCATGGAAGTTGCAGGAGACCATATTTGCCAACATTTTATTTTAAAGAAGGTATTTAAAACTATTTTACATATTAACCAGGATTTCTAGAAGTGAAGTTGTTATAAAAATCAGAAGTTATATTTTACCTTTTGATGATAAGTGAAAAGAGATTGCTCCAAGAATGTTGTTTTCAATAAATTCAGTATAACTGCAACACAAAAATTCTGCATACAGGCTTCATATACACACATTATAATTTTATGTATTTATCTTGAGAGTTGTATAATTAATTTTAAAAATGCAACAAAAAATGTGAGGTTAAGTCTACTTTGCCAATAATGGAAGTGTCTCATAGATAATTTTGAATACAATTAAAATTTTGTTTTTATCCTAAAAGGAACTGTCCTGTTGCTCATTATTAGTATGTTGTCCGTTTATTGTTCTATTTTTGGCTAAATTAAATTTAACTAAGGGAAAAAGAAAACGTTGTGAAATACCAAGGATGAGCCAAGTTTTGTGGGTAAACTAATTGAGATGGTTGATTTTGGTATTAACTCTTTGGGGAATATCACTCTTGTTAAAATTTAAGTAAGGAACTAGTAGAAATATTTTATTCTTTAATCAAACTACATGTTTTAAAAAAAAATGCCAAAGAAGAAACTAAAAAAGTAGCACGTATCCTGTTAAAGAGTGATCAGCATCCCATTGGAAGCTCCAGCACTCTGACTTTGGATTTGTAGGATGGTCTGTTCGTTTAGTATATGTATTACACAGCCGCATTTGCATCATCACCTTATAAAGCCAGAGAGATTCTCATTTGCTTTCTGTTTTTCTTCTTTCCCCTAAGGACTACAATGGTTATATACTTTCAAATATTCACAGACGAGATATTCTGGATAAATAATCTAAGATTAACTAAATTAGGTCAATGTTCATACAGGACCAGTATGATATATCCCTTGTGCTGAAATTATCTGGTGTCAGCTACATTGATTGAAAAAGCACTACAGACCCAAAAGGAAAAAAAAAAGCACACACACACACACACAACTCTTATTACAAGATGTCTCAAAAGCAGATAAGAAAGCAACGAAGTCTTCTGGTAAATGAGGGACCTTATCTAGATTTTAATATGGCAGTAGGCAAATTACAAATGTTTCTGCAAGTTAGACAACTTGCACGGGAAAACAGACGTTCCTAAAGTTCCCATAATTCTAAGCCAGTTATAGAGTTTGCACATCATCTGTGCTGGTGGGTTCTTTGTGCTTTTCCTCAAGATACATTCCATATAAGGGCAGAAAAAACCATCAAGATTCAGGTCACACTGGCTGGGCTGTTTGACTCACTCTAGGATGGAGATAGCTCAAAAGAAGGACGCCTGAATGTCATTGTCGGAGGGCTACTTTCTGCTTATCTACATATTGTTTATATCTACTTCACACATTGTTTCTCTCCTTCTGAAAACAGCTATTAATATAACAAAGTCCTTATAACAAAACTAAAATGTCAAGGGTTGGAAAAGAAGGTTCTTGAGGCTTTCGTAACGAGACCACATTTGCTGCAGTCAGTAGCAGAAACTCCGCTTGTTTTCACTGGGTAGCCTCTTCAGTAATTTGGTAGGTGATAAAATGATTTCTTTGTCTGATCATTGTGATTATCATCCATTTATCAGTCAAAGTTCACTGAATTGTTGCTCCTGTCACCATTATGATATATTATCACAAAAGGTATTTAACAAGTTGATAATCTGATAGAATGAACAGAATGGCTGTCAGTACATATATTTCAGAAACAGACACAGACTCATGTAGCAGGCTGCTGCCCACCGAGGATGCCATTCCGTTCAAAAATTACTATCTTTAGAGCATATTTCTGAGAAGCAATAATGACAGTAACCTTTATCTTCAGGACTAAACTAAATTTCTAATGCATGCCTAGGCATGCAAAAAACTAACAAAATTAAGAAGGAAGCCTAACAGCCTAAAACTGGAATTTCTGATTGCATTCTAATAGAAAAGTGAGTTCTTTGAGGGAGAGTATCATAGTTGTTCGAATACTGCAGTGAGCCACAGCAGAAGGTGGGTGTGAACTCTGAGAAGCAGCTGCTGAAACAAGAATTAGATAAAGCAAAATAAGTCAGAGGCCGAGGTCTAGAATGAGGAATTTTTAAAAAAAAAAAAAAAAAAAAGGAAAACATTAAGCTTCATGAAAAAAGGGAGTTGGCACTCTGCTCACCCATCTCCTGTTGACGTCAGGAGTGAACTGATGCCCATGGGGTCAGTGTTCTCCTTCATGTCTTTAACTCACCCAGCATTTCCATCCTGCAGCCAGTGCAGCCTTGCTATAGTGTTTGTCTGGGGCAGGTGAGATGGGGTCACTTGCATCCATGCGAAGAGGGGTCAGCGTAAATTGAAAGTGGCCCATGACCTTTTGCCCTCCTTACTTGACTCTTAGAAGCTTCTAAATGCACCACCATAATTTGACCTCAGGGTCCTGAGCATGAACCCCCAAGTGGAGGTGCAGAGAAGCCTTCAGAACACCCACCTTCTGCGCTCACACCACAGGTGTCCTTTCAGTTAGCAGGCTCACTGCTCACTGCACTCCATTGGTTTGGCCTTCCACACACCGTTTCACTGCTCTTACCAGCCCACCACCCTAGCCCACCACCCTAGCCTACCACCTTAACCCACCACATTGGCCCACCACCCTGGCCCACCACATAAGCACACCACCCTAACCCACCACCCTAGCCCAGCACCCTAGCCCACCTCATGCACCAAATCCAGGACCATCCCAGATGCAGACACAGCACACTGAGCCTTCCTCCAAGCCTTTCAGTACTTCTACTGAACCCCTTTTCTCCCCAGAAGAAAACTAAGTACATTCCTTCTTTCCTGCTGTGCATTTTGTGAGGACAGACTGGATGGAGGCCACAGAGCATGAGTCAGACGCCCGTCACACCTGGTTCCTCTCTGATCTGAGCAAACCTAAGGTTTGTGGCTTTTTAAATGTCTATTTCACATGTTTCTCTCTTAAGGAAGAAAGGTGGAGGCAAGGGTGGGAAGCGCTCTCAAAGCTCCTACCATGAGGGGATCTTTCTGAAGATCTGTGGTATGGTCTTCTATTTCTAGTCCAAAAAAATTAACTGATACCTTCACTGGAGATTATTCACAAGCTTACACGGTAACTTATATTCCTCTGGTAAGACAGGAAAAGATGGTAGGGTAAGAGTTCTGTTCAGTAGATGTTTGCCAGGTATCTACTCTATGTATGTACTTTGCAAAGTGCAGGATACAGAAGTAAAGAAGATGTGGGTCATGAATCACGCTCTCATGAAGTTTACAACCTTATAGTGATGAGACAGGAAACACTTGTTCAACATGACAACTGCAGTTGCAGGCAATTCAGTGGGGCACTTAGAAAGGAGTCTCCTCCTGGGAGATGAGAGAAAGTTTCCCAGGATCTCAGTCTTGAGGAAAGAGAAGAGGAAGGGAAAGGCATTCTTACAGCGGGAACAGCATTTACAGAGGCACGGGGCAGGACATAGCAAAACGCCTTCGGGACAGTGGGCCCCATTCGAAGGGGCAGAGCTACAGGAATAGACGCTTTGATGATTCTGCAGAGGAAAGGATTGTTCAGGGCTGGACAGTCAGAGAAAGTTCCCCAGAGGAAGATGGAATCTGCTCAGGGCCTCCAAGCAAAGCCCATGCCTGCCGCAATGTCCTTGGATGCTGGGAGTGAATGGCCTGGGGAACCCTGCATGTTTGGGCAGCAGCCTCTGGCCTCCCAGAAGTGGAGGGTCATGATTTTTGAGTGAAACAAGGAGGCAAGGGCATGATTTCCTCAAGCCACGCAGCAGGAAGCAGAGGGCTGATGAGTGCCGTGAGTCAGGGGTGAGTTTTGCCAGGTGAGTCCTGGGGCAGCCGGCACTGTGGGATCCTGCGAGGTGAGTGGAAGGGCTGGCCATGGGTGAGAGACGGAAAAGGCAGGTGTACAGCAGCCCTAATGCAACACCCTTCACTGAGGCACTTTCTGAAGCACAGATGGGGCCCACACGCACAGGAGAAGGTTTGCTACATTGGGTAAGAATCATTTTCCGAGCTTTTTTGAAGAAAAAATTGAATTGCCAAAATTAATATCTTCATCAAATATAAAATCCTTTTCCCATTACGATGGGTAATAAAAATATACATCTATACTTCATGTTTAAGTGTTTATAGATGACATTTTTGGTTGATTTTTCAAAGAACGAAAGAAATTAAAACTTAATAAAATGAGAGTATTTCAAAAGACGTCTCAGTACCTTTTGTATTCTGGTCTGGAGAAATGTTTTCACTGTGAACTTTGTGAACACAAGCTTTGAAATACTGATGACTTGGCAGTTAGCTCACACACCTTGAGAAAATTATATTACATCTAATTTGTACAAACAGAAACCACGTATCTTCCAGAGGATGTTTTCTCCTCTTTGGATTTAATTGGTGGGAGAACAGAAGGTAGAGCAGGGCTGGCTCACGTGCCCGCCTGGAGAGAGGTGGAGACATTCCACGCAGCCTCTGTGTGTGGCATCTCAGACTCCAGCCCCGCAGGCAGCACACAGCCCAGCTATGGACACCCGGCATGGCGGCCTGGGCCAGTGCTCAGAGCCCATCCTCAGTCCCGGCTCTGCACCAGGATGCATGCTGCATCTCCCACAGGGTCACCTCACCCCTTCAACACAACCTCCCAGGAACTTTGCACCCTTGTGACCACTTTAATAATGAGGACACTGCAGGAATCCTGGCTGCAGTAGGGCCCAAGTTCACGCTCAGCCGTGCTGCTGGGCTGCGTCCCAGACACTTGGAGGACAAACACAAGACGGAAAGAGATATGCTTGCCATCCATCAATGCTGATTATTAACAAAACAACACAATAGTGACACCTTCCTATTTTTTTAAAACAATATGGACGTCTTTTCCTCAAATGAGTAGAGAGGATCTGAAAAAAAAAGCATGATGCTGGTGAGCTGTCCATGTTCACACATTTTAAAAACCCGAAGTTATTGTCCTTGTTTCCTCTCCAGCTCAGTCCTGGAGGGAAGGGCCCCAGGAGGGCGATGCGGGCAGTGGGCTGGCGGGGATAAGGCATGGTCTCTGTGTGCCCAGCACCCGGCACATGCCCGTCAGCGCAGCCCAAGCACTAGCACCTCCTTTCGTACCGAAAGGTATCATGCCTGGCTCAGATGACCAAATACACAGACAGCCCAGTGGAGGGGAAGAAGATGAAGGAACGTGGGTCAGCAATCCTGAACATCCTGTGCTCACAGCAAGGACACAGGGGAAACCGAGGCCTGCTATGCAGGGAGAGCCATAGAGGAAGAGAGGGTGGGCTTGGGGAAACCTGAATGGAG